CAAGTCCTCCGTCGATTTCCCTATCAACGTCCTCTTGGAAGTTGTTTTTCAAATTTTTAGGAATGGGTTTTTGGCTACGCTCCATTGAGTTGCTGTTTGTTTTTTGGGTTGTATTGCGACCGTTTTGTCTTGGGATTTGGTTGATTAATTCAAGATTGTCTGTTGATGGTGGAGATGAGTTTGGGTTCAGTGTGTATGGGGCTTTCGAGTTCGTTGAGGCACCACAGTACCAGAATGGGAATGATTGTCTGGCGATTAAGCCGTATGCTTCATTATGTGATCCATCTTTTGTACACATTGTTATGACATTGGATTCGGAGTACCTTCGTGGGTCCCTTGTTGCCATGTACTCCATCAACCACCACGCCTCTTGTCCGAAAAACATCTTCTTCCATTTCATCACAGTGGAGTTCAACTCGGCTAGTCCATGGCTTTTGAATCAAATAGTTCGATCAACCTTCTTGTCGCTCAAATTCAAAGTTCATATCTTCAAAGAAGACAAGGTGATTAATCTAATTTCTTCCTCAATTCATGAAGCACTCGGGAATCCACTAATTTGTTAATTTGTTTAAATATTTTTAACTTATTTAGTTTATTTCTTAATTATTCAATTAATCTTAAATAATGTTAACTTTATTTGACCAATTACTATGTGCCATATGTTGTTTAAAATTCATTTATTAATTTATTTAAATATTTTTAAGTTTAAAATGGGGTCACATGCCACGTAACACTTGCCACATGGCTATTCTTTACAACAGTAACACTAATTAGGAAAGACTTAACGGCAATATAACACTCGACGTTAAATTTTGCTTTATTTTCATAAACTTGAAAAATTAGAAGGTAAAAATCATAAATTGTAAATTGAGGGATAAACTGCCTCATACTCGAAAAGTTGAAAGGCAAAGTAGGGTTTTTGCCCATGATTATTATCGGACATGATAACGTAGGTATTAATGAGTTAAAATGATCTCTCAATGAGACATTTAAGATGAAAAATCTTGGTTGTCTAAGCTATTTTCTAAGGCTTGAAGTCTTCGTCAAATGATGGCTGCCTTCTTTCTTAAATAGAGTATGTCTCCGATCTTGTTTCTAAAGCTGAACTCAATGATAATAAGAGTGTTTCTACACCTCTTTAACCTAATGTTAAGCTTACACCTATGGATGGCTCTCCACTTTTTTATCATACTTGCTATAGGCAATTAGTTGGTAGTTTGATTTATCTTATCACAACACAACCTAACATAACACATGTAGTTCATTTTGTTAGTTTGTTTATGGCTAGTCCTCGCTATAGTCATTATGCAGTATTGCTTCACGTTATTCATTATGTTAAGAGGACATTGTTTCATGGACTTCATTTTTCTGCTAACTCCTCACTTGTGCTTTGTGCCCACTTTGATGCCAATTGAGTTGGTGATCCTTCTGATCCCAGATCTACCACTAGCAATTGTCTTTTCCTTGGTAATTCTCTCATCTATTGACATAACAAAAAACAAACTATTTCATCTTGCTCTAGTGAGTGTAGAGCTCTTAGTGATACCATCTTAGAACTTTCATTATGGTGGCTTTTTGAAGACATGGGTATCCCTCAACCTTCTTTTACTGATTTATATTGTAATAATCAAAATGCTATATAAATTACTCACAATGATGGATTTTATAAATGCACAAAGCATATCGAGGTCGATTGTCACTTTATTTGTCATCATTTTGCAAACGGAACTATCCATTTGATTTTTATTAGTTATGCTGACCAACTTGCAAATTTATTTACCGAGGCTTGCTTCCCTAGACATTTCCAAACTCTTCTTTCCAAACTTAAGTTGGTTCCCTAACCTTCACCTTGAGTTTATGGGGGTGTTAAAATATTAGCATTCACTATATTAGTATGTTCACATTGTAATTGATTATATACTTTTAAGTTAATTGGTTTTGTACCTAAGAATATTCTATAGATCTAAATATAGGTCATTTATATGTACAATAATTGTATATACAATGAAAATAAGAAAACAATAAATCTTTCTTTAAATTTTTTTCTCTTTTTAGTTTCTAACATTTCTAAGGTCATATATATTGCAAATTTTAATAAAATATATTATTTTACAACTTAAACTATTTTAAATTATAAAATAAAAATTATTTAATATAAAAAGTAATATTTTATAATTTATAATAATTTAAATTATAAAATACTTTTCTATTTTAATAAATTTTACTTGGTGGTGGTCTAATGGAACAGGCAAACAATAAAATAAAAAATTCTGTGATGGTCTCAATCAATCAGAAATTGGAAAATGCCAGCAAGGGATAAAACAGACATATCAAGAAGAATTAAAACAAACATATGATTAACGTCAAAGCAAGAATTTTCTACGCAAGCGGCTGCCGGAAAAGGCCTCACAGACTCAACTACCCTCAGGGAACCACGTGCTCTGCACGGTGCGTTTGGTTGGGTAAGAAACCTTCTTCCCAACTTTTCCCTGTACTTTCATTTTTTTAGTATTATTTTCATATTTTAATATTAAAAAAACAATCTTATCAAAAAATGGAAAAAAAGGTGAACAAACTTTTTTATATTTTTTATTTTCTCTGGCATTAATTACCTAGTTCAAATTTCATTGTGATTTTTAATTTTGGTTTTCATAAATTTTATATTTATTAAAAATTAAAAATAAAAATAAAAAGCTAATTACTTGTTTAAGACAGTTTTAATACTAGTAATAAAAAAA